TGGGACTATTAAAGCCATGCTGCATCCATGCAAGAACAAACAGTTAATACTTGAGGTTTTTTTTTCTCATTTGGGGATGTTTGCCAAGAAGTAAAATTAAAAATAAAATGAAACCACACATCATCCATGCCCCAGTTTCTCCAACACTAGACTACATGTTTTGCTGAAAGTGAAAAAGTGGTGCAGAGAAGAGGAGTGAAACAGCAGTACCTCTGGTGACCCTGTGATGAATTAAATGCTGTGTGCTCTTATCAGCAACTGTTGCCTTGCATCACATGTAATTAGAAATGGCCATGAGCAGCGGATGAGGAGCCAATCAGATTTCAGCTAGCATGTCAACCAAAGACCAACTATCTCCTGGCTTTGACAGCAGGATTTTACCTCCACAATTCAAATCCCAGTGCAAACTGCAATCTGCAGGCTGCAGTCACTCACTCATAGGGGCTGAGCTCACTGTTTACAGGCAACATGCATGGGGAGCCCAGTAGCTTTACAGCACATGGGAAGTCTTTTAATGTATTTAAGATTTAGACGCAATGATTTACATCCTTCCCTGACATCTCACGGGGTATTTAAGTGATTTAAAGTGAACATACACGAGCCATTTAACTAGCCGTGAGAGGCTGATTCGGCATGCAACACATTCCTTCCGTCGTAGCCACAAAATTACAGCCTATCGGGCAGGAAAACGATTTAAACGTGACTGTGTAAGCAACAAACTAATATGAGTGTGAACATGTTACCCCTAACATACCCGTGTAACATAAACATGAATAACACGGTAGATTCAGAGTATAATACGCCTAAAGAAGCTAACAGACAAAAAATGAGCCGTTACTCCTCGGTGAGTATTTTCGTCCCTTTTCAAAGTCGGGCCTTCTTGGCTCCCTGAACGTCCTTACATCGTTTCAACAACTTATATCTGCTTCAAGCGGCACTCCTTCACTGCTACATACCTTCATCGATATATTAAAACAACAATTATTTAACGGTCTGGTGTAAAGGAAAAAAAACACACACGAGAGGCAGCCATTTTAGAGTCTTTGCGAACTAGTAGCAGACAATGGCTGGCCTGCTACGTTGTGAACTAGCTAGGAGGAGGGAAGGAGACGTGCTAAAGCCCACATCATGTTCCTGTAATAATGTGACTTTACCTGGTTTCTAACTAGCGGCTGCCCGGCACTTCCCGGGCTCATAGGCGACGGGTGATGGCTTCTTTGTTGCCAACCCGGATTGCTCCCTCCATACAGACCGCTACTGCCCATGTCTGCTGGTCCCTTACTAGCTCCTTCTTGGCTACTGTAGTCATTAGACGGGTAGTTTGGATATCCCCGCGTGGAGCTGGGGGAGGTTAGGAGCTTGTTGAGTGTCGGTGTGGATGTAGGTTGAGGGTTTCCAATGTTATATCTCTGGTTACTGTAAGATCCAGCCATCGCCGTGGGTCCTCCCGCTGGTGGCTGCTGTTTAACGTTAGCTGGCTGCCCCCCAGCTGTCGGCGCCTGGGTACTGCGAGGGGAGTTCATGGCGTATGCTTGGCCGGGATAGGGAGTCCTGTTCGGGAATGGGTTGTAATTGTTAAACTGGTGGTTGGAAAAGCCATGCTCGTGTGAATTAGGTTGATATGGGTCCATCATGTTGCTCGACTGCACGACCGGACCCGCAGCAGCTGCCATGCCAGGGCTTTGTTGTCCGCCATGTTGATGAAAAGGGGCCCGACCGTAGTGCTGACTGTATCCGTACGAAGGTGGGGGAAACGCGGTGCCGTGGTGATGCACCATGCCGGGGTGGTTATTTCCCTCCGGTCCGACAGAGTCATTCTGGTTATTATTGTTAGCCCTGGGCGGGTTCCCATTCCCGTTCTTCATCTCAGGTTCCCCTCCTCCCCCTGCATTTCCACCGTCGGCCCCGTCCTGCAGATCCCCCCGGCCCGGCGATCCGCTGTCCAAGCCCGGCTGCTTTTTGTCTGACTGCTTCTCCCCCGGTACCGACTCCTCCTTGGGGTCTCGATCCGGCTTTTTGAGTTCGGAAGGCGGGCTAGTGTTAAGAGTGGCGGCGCTGGCGACCTGAGCGGCCATGATATACCCCCCCACCCCACCTCTCTCTCACTCTCTCGGCGAGTCAGTCACAATCAAAAGCTAGCATTGAATATAAATAATTGTTTATAACCATTTATCCTTGAGCCGATTCATTCCCACCCCTCACACCGGACCGAATCCGGCTGCCATCCCAGTTCCGGTTCCGTAAATGGGTTAGAAATATGATGGAGGCTCCATACAATGCGTAAAAAAGCGACAGAAATTGTTGTGGGAGTTGTGTTACTGAGCCCGGGTAGAGGCAGGGAGCAAACCCAACCAACACGAGGCTCCGCTAGATACAGCCATTTTACTGAGCCGCACGGATGGCTGCAAAACACGGACTGGATCCGCTCCACTGCGGATTGAACTTTTTTTCCCCCTCTTAAAACCACATTGTCTTCCCCCCATAGGTGGAATATTTTCTCCACATGAAGAGAGACTAATGTTCACACAACTCAACAACGTTGTGTTGCCAACATATAAAAAACTATGTGCTTTAAACCAACTGCTCAGGAGGCTGTGCATGACAAAAATATTAACATGCATGCTAAATATCATGAGTGATCAGTGCAGGGGGAGCTAATTTATTCATATATGATTTTTCAAGTGCATGATGTGGATGCCACAGATGCAAGCGTGGAGATGTGTGCTGCACACACTGCATGGTATTAAATGAAACGAGTTCATTTACCCAGGCTTGCAAACACACACACTTATAAGTCTGACTTGAAATTATGTACATATCTAGTTCAGTGATCTGCCTTCCCACACTGTAGTTAATCCCCACTAGTGTTTCTGACTGGTATTTAGGCAAGCAAAGGCAACACACACAGGTTTTTCCAGAGTAGAAGGAGGAAGCCTTGCAGCAAACGAGACTACCAATGCACATTCCCTCTTATTCCCTCCCCTGCCTGCCTGCCTGCCTGCTCTGCTCTCCTCTACCACCCCCTCTCCTCTCCACTCTGTCTGTCTCTCACTCCAGCAGAAACACTCCTCTGCTGAGTGTGGGGGGATGGGTGCGCAGGCTCCAGCTCTCTCTCACCCTACTAACATTGAACTGCGCCGTACAGAGAGAAGAAAAAAAAAACCTGGGCCTTATCTACCAGACAGAGGATGCATGAACAGTTTCAAAGTCTCCCCAACAATTAGAAAAATGGAGCATTTGTCCCCCTCCTCTCCTCAGTCAAATGAAGCAGACATTTTTGGCATCCACAAAAACGCGCAGGGTGTGTGCACGGCATTGAAGCAGGGGTGGTAATGAGAAGTGTGTGTGTGTGTGTGTGTGTGTGTGCTGGGGCTGAGTGAGTTTTTATTTGAAAGAATGAAATGCAAATGAATGTTATGGTGTGTGAGGCGTTTAGTGGTTGGATTGGGTGTTGAGAAAAATTCAGATTTTGGGGTGTAAGTGGGACGAGGGTTTTTTTTTTCTCACTCTCGACACACACGCGCGCGCGCACACACACACACACACACAAACCGTCTCTCTCGCTCTCTCCCACACTCACACGCATGCACACGTACACACGCACACACACATCTACCTCTAGGGGGCTTGTAGAGGAAAAAAAGGCAGGAAGTAGCAGCAGTGAGAAGGCATACTTGATCACATGTACAAACATCGGAACACAATTTAACATTCTGCCTGACACACCCCCCTAATGCACGGAGAGCACAGCTTTGCAGGCACATATAATTTCACAGCCACATCATACCACACAGGGTTAATGTAATTTCCCACATCAGTGCGAGCTCGCAAAGTGGATCACGCTTTATTTTAGACTGACTACAGCGAGGCATGAGAAGAAGGAGCGCTCACACGAAGCCTCGTGTTTAATATGCGTGTGTGAGGGGCGTCTAGACTTTGAGTTTTAATGTTGGAGGAACATTTATACTGCGGATGTTGGGTTTATAAAACAGGGTTTCACATGCACAACAGCAGCAGTGGGAAAAGTCATCTACTCCAAGTTAAAACAAGAGTTTTAGTTGCTTTTTAAAACGACAGAGGGTCTTCCATCCCAGAGACCAGACACAGGGCCAGTTGTGCAGAAACAGATTTAATGTAGCTTCCTCTCCCCGCCTGACTTAATTTTTCTGCTCTGGCTGCTGGCAAAAGTCGGAGCAGAGTTTTGGGGATCTGGGAGGAGGATTTGCAAGCTCATGTGCCATCTGCTGGACAAAAGATGGGCTCCAAACACACAAGGACTCGCTCTTGGCCAAAGTCATTACTGCTTCTGATGATGTTTTTGATTCACCTCGTCTTTGTTAAAAACTGCTTCATGGACATTATGCAGTCATGCTGTTACTAAGAATCCCATGACTTATTTAAATGTGTTGGATTTTACCCAGCATGTTGCACAATACCCAGGAAGCCCTGCAATTGTTTCACTGTTCTTATAGAGAAACACAGCACTTAAATAGACATAATGTTACAATATTTGGTATTACATTTGTTCAGACACCCAAGTACATCTTAAAACTTAGAAATCAAATTGACTGAATCTTCACCTGGAGATAGGAATATTACAGTTTGTTCCATAAACATAGAATATGTACAGATCATGTTAATATTTACCCATCCACTGCATACACACACACACATTCAAATTGCACTTGCATCTCTGAGGCACTGCCGAGCGTCAACTTCCATTATATTCCGCTGCATATCAAGGGAAATACGCTGTCTGTTCTCTGTATCTTACTGTCACACATACTCCTAAGTAATATACGGACATAGCAGAAGGGCACGCACGAGGAAACTCCTCTGTATAATCTTTGCCATACTTCTCCAATTCTAAAACAAACACACAAAACACAGTATTCTTTAGTGATTTCATTTATGCACCAATAACCTAAAAGAAGCAGCAAGCAGTATGTGCATGATTTTTTATTTTCAGTTAATTCATTCTCATAAAGAAGGCCCAAAACAGTGTTTATATTACAGTCACTTTATTGTTTAAGAGTGGATACAACTTACCCATGATGTATTTTCACAAAAAATATGGGGACCATAAACATCTAATAAAACAAAACTGAGGGTCTTTACATTTGATATATTTTAAGATATTGTAACAGAATTTTTTGATGATTTCCTTGTGAAAAATACAATAAATCACACCACTCTTATTGATGGCAAGTGAAGCTCTGTATCCACTCCCTTCAGTCGTCCTCACTGTGATTTTTATGAGGTGTGGTGCAACCTTGAAGCATCTACAGCACCCAAATTTAGTTCCTATCTCTCTACCGCTTTTGTAGAGAGGCTCAGAATTCAGGCCAAGTGAGATGGATGTTGCCAAGACTCCCCTGGTATACTGATGCTAAAAAGGCAACCAGTTTTGTCCTTTTATTTGGGCTTCTCAATTTACAGATCCATCATTTCTTCCTCCACAGTCTTTCCACTGGTTCCAAGATACCGCTCTTGCACTCCGAGAGTACTGGAGTGCTGTTAAGGAGAACATAACAATAATAACACATTTTTTAAAATGTATATTGTCAGATTCAGGTTACTTTTTAGCAGAGTATTCAGTCTTTCAGCCACCTCCCGTGTATCTCAAGGTTTCATTTCCAACCAGATGAGTCACAGTGAGTCACCATAGTGATTAGGAAAGGATACGAGTCGAACTGGAAGTCTGCCCCCACAGCAGCTGACATCATGGCCTGCAGATTCCTCTCCTCCAGGTCTCCAAAGCAGTAGCCATTGGCTTTGTCCACTGCTCGTAAGACCTGAATCATGCTCTCTCTGTCCTGTGGAGAGGAAAAGAGAAGCATATGAGATCAGGGGGTTTTCCCTGCTGAAATTCACTGCAACTTACTGATGGTTAGAGGATGACCCAGGGTAACCTATTTTCCCATGTTTTTGTGTCCAAGAGACTAATGGAGACAATATTTTTTTAGTTGTCCAGTATTAAGTGAGGGGGGTGCAGTCAGCAGCTGTGACAGAGGTGGCAATGTAACCACTTAGGGCATTTGTGCACCGTCACTTTACGACCATTTAAAGTGCTCGTTTTTGCCACTGAAGGCTCAGATTATTATTCCAATCATTTGACAATATTATGGAAAGGATCACTACAGAAAGAGGCCATTTTGTTAATGAGTAAGATCCTTTTTGTTTATTGAGAAACAGCCCCCAAATCGCTATCGCCAAACCCACCAGGCTCCATTTAAATAAACAGTAATTTAATCATTGTTAAACACGCTTTATTTTAAGTTGACAGACACAAAACAAAACTCCTAAAAAACATTTTGGTTCATCTTAACACTGCTCCAACAATCACCAACTCTGGTTTGGTTGAAATAAACCCTTGATTCACCCAGACAGATGTGAAAATATGCTGTCTCTATACATGCTTAAATTACTGGTTATTTAAATGGAGTCTGGTGGGCTTAGCGATAGTGATTTTAGGGCAGTTTCTTGTTAAACAAAAAGGTCTATTTCTGTAGTGATCCCTTCCATAATGCTGTCAGATACTTTTAATAACAATATGAGCCTATCAGTGGCAAAAATAAGCACCTTCAGTGGACGTAAAATGTGGATGCATAAATGCCCCAAGTGGTTCCCTTGCCGCCTCTTTCACAGCTGCCTGCTGCAGCTCTACACTCAATACTGGACTAGTTTCAAAAATTGTTGTTCGCATTAGTTGCTTAGAAGCGGGGAAAAACACAGAGGTTACCCTTTAAAGATATGCTGAAGAAACTCACTGAAACTTTGATAATGTGCTTTAATTGTATTTCTTTTTTTTTTATCATTTCTATGTCATATCACAAGACAATGTTAGATTTAACTGGTTTCATATATCCTCACTCGTTTTTCATATTGATTTTTTACCTGGTAGATTTACTGCATGAGCAGCATACAGGTAGACTTTTCCCTTTAAAGGAGTATGAAACTCTCTTGGAAATATGGCAGTGCAGCCTGTTTGGCCTTGGATAGTGTTTACCATGGTCTAGTATTCTGGGATAAGCTACACATGTATACAAAGCTATAAAATCCCAAACTCCCTCCAATGTTGAGAGTTGTACTTCTTGTCCTTCTCAAGGTCAAAAGTGTCGTGTTTTTGCTCTTTTAAATTTGCTGTGTTTAAGCACCTTTTGTAACCACAGTAACAACTGGCTGTTTAACTTAAAGGAGTTAAAAAAAAACACACATACACAAATGCATCAAAGCTGAGTTTTCACAATGATGGAAACAATAGCGCCAACCTGCCATTTGTATATATTCCCAGCCCCATATGCAGTAATGGCAGAGTGGTCTAGACTCCCGTCTCTGGGTGCACACACAGGATCATATCAGTCTCCATAAAGAAATAATGCCAGGGAACAAATACAGTGTGCAGACAGCCCACTCCCTTTTAACAGTCCAATCCATCTGCAGGAAATTGATCCAGTGCTCAATTTCAAATGCTAAAAATGATTTATGATTTACCTGCTGAAAAGATGAAATATGCCATGAGTGATTTTGAGGAATTTCTTGGAGGAGAGCCATTTTGGCATCAGCGAATTAATGTATAAGTTTAACATGTTCGGGCCAGTTATACTCAGGTACTGAACTCCTTCATGACCCATTTACAAAAATATAATGAGGGAAGTCTTATTACGCTGTCCACTCAATATCTCTCAGTGGCCTCGCATCATTTAACAGAAAATAAATATGACGCGAGATAAAAATAAATTAATATTTGGTGTCCAATTTGTTTTCAGTCAAAACATGAAATGAGTCTTAATAAACTGTAGTAAGTCTAAAAACACACACTTATTATCTTTCTGTCGGTTATTCTGTGCCACACACAGACACTGAGCCCTCAAGGCTTCATTTGTGTATACGTATATGCCGTGCTTGTTATGGCTGGCGAGACTAAATTAGCCACTCTTCTCATTTCCTCAATCCTTTCCTCGCGTCTTCGTCCCTCCCACCCAAGATGTGAGCAGAGGCGGCAAAGAAGACACGCAAGGAGAGAGGAGTCAAGGCAACAGGTGTGTGTCACACCTCTTTTATATGTCATGGGTTTGGTGCTGATAAGACTTGTGCAAACTCTTGCACAAGTGCATCCTTGCTCATTGCTCCTCTGGCAAGCTTTCTCTCTCCTTGAGATGCATTTTAGGAATTTTTACATCTTTAAAAATGGTGCACTGAGATCAATTTCCAGATCAAAGGCAGGAGAACGGAGGAGACGAGGAGGCACAATATAGTGCAAAGAGAAGAGCCCTACATCTGCTCGTTTCAGATTTACCTCAAAGCAGACTTCACATTTGGTACTCTCTGAGTAATAACCTTTGTTTTGGTTTGTTTGTTATTTCAAAGAATCTTTGTGTGTAAGGAGTGCAACATGCAAGATGGAAATTTAGCGTCAATATTATCTTAAGCCACCTAAGCCCTTTCTGAATCAGGAAACCCTTTGTGATTGTACTTTTAATTTACTAAAGCATATTTCAGTGGAATTGTAGCAATATTAGGTCCCAGAAGAGTACGCTAGAATGTACCACCAGCAGTATAAAGTACATTGAGCCTGAGGGTCATTCTTTGAAATGTAAAACAAGAAGTTATTCATAAACAGCAAAGAGTGATACCTGTACATTGAGAGGCACAAAGGAGACAAGGCTGTAATCTTGTATGACCTCCGCCAACTTCTCATTTAGATGACGGAATTTTTTAAAGAAGGGGTCTGCAGCCAGGTGGTCGAGAAGATAGGTCAGGTCCATGACCTCTGTGTAGAAGTCAAGGTTGAAGGCTGTACAAGAATCAAGGCAGAAAAAATGTTACAATTAATACTACAATCAAAATGCGCACATAACTCAGTTTCTGAATAAGTTATACAGTTACTGGTGTATTCCTCAGAAATCTAAGTAAGAAGCATCAGTCCTCATCTGTAATATTTTCTGTGTGTTAACATTAATTTTGTTAGAGCCAACAACACTTAACATACCCAGTTTGCCTTACTGTTCAATCAAGTCCATCTTGGAGAGGATGTTGACATGTGGAAGCTCTACATGCAGCATGGTGGACAGCGAGGTACACAGCACAGAGATGAACTTGGCTGGGTCGGCGCAGTAGTGTGAGTCCACCAGGTGCACTGCTGTGAGCTTAAAGAAGCGATAAAGTGTGGGAGAACGATAGTCATAAGATTTATAATCTGCATTATGTTAATACTGTATGTACCTGATTAGTGAATAACTAAAGCATAGGTTTAGGGCTCAGGGAACATCATTCCCATCCCAGTATGTTTAAGAAGCTCACCCTAAAATTCCACTTGCTCAGCTGTGAGAATATATTCTTCACTGAACTCTGGTGGGTATAGAGCTCCACCTGCCCAGGACAGTCAAACAAGAAGTAACAGTCACTGTGCTGTTTCAGCTTGTTCTCTAACCAGTCTAGATTTGCCTCAACATACTCCATACAGTAGAGCAGCCCACCGTTGGGGCCAAGCTTCAAACCCTCCATGACATCGTCCAGGGTGACCAGCTCTGAGATATCTATTGCACAGGTATACGGTAGCCCTTCATTGGCGGGGTCCATGTTCACCACAACAACCTTGCGTCCCAGGTTAGTAAGGAACTCCTGCATTCCCTGGCAGTAGGTGGTTTTTCCTGAGCCTGGGGGTCCAATGACCACCTGCCCGAAGCGCAGGGAAGGCGGTACTCCTGTCTGGGTGGACATGGTGTCAGTGCCACTGGACTGGTGAGCTGGAGACGGTCACATTAGATGGGAGCAGGATGTGAGAGGGGCCACATGTGATGTCCTCTGCAGGGTGTCAGCATCCAGGTTGTTGTCACCTGACAGGGTCACATCAATCAGTGTCAGAAATTAGCATGTGAGAGGCTCGAGTCAAGTGCAGGCTTTCCAACATTTATTTTAGTTAAGTAAAATATTAATATAGTACACCCTCGTCCCTGAGGAGGGTTTGCCTTTTACCAGGCTTTCACTGTTTATAATAATTTGTTTTTAATGACTAGCTTGGTCAAATAAAGGTTGAATGTACGAACACTTAACTAAGGCAGGAGTGAATACATAGTTGAACGTCAATACACTCAGGTACATTAACAAACAAAACTTCCTAACTGTGGTTTATTAAAAGTTTATGTCACCAGAGGTAAGTCTAACTAATGTTAGCTACATTATCTGGTACTTTATGGACATTCATTTGTAAATGTAATAAGCATTTGGTAAATATTTACCGTCTGCCGCCGTTATGTTTGCATGCGTACAACTGTTGCTAGCTAAATGGCTACGCTAGTTTTAAGTACTTCCGGGTTACGTACCGAGATGTCAAAATAAGAGCAGAGTTTTTCATTCCACAAAAGTGCACCACCCTAACCTCTGTGACAGTGCCTCGTGTATAATTTAAGCCCAGCTCCTTATGTTACATCATTAATATATTTTCATAAAATCCCATACATGTGACACAGGAAGACGTTTTCGTGTAATAGTGAGTCAGCAATTTGAGACATTACATAATTGTAGAAAAATACAAAAATGAGCACAAGTGGAATATGAGGTTTGAAAATATTTTAATAATACTGACAAATACGTGAGTAAAAATACTACAGAAAAACAATATTTAAATTAATGTCATCTTCTTGGTCCAACGCTGCCACCTGGCTGCCAGCCTCTGTACTTCATACTCGTGTTTGGTTGCCGTCTCAGCAAAGTGTCGCCTCCATCTATGTCTTTGGGTTTGTCATACACTGTGCTTATATGAAAATCTGTTTTGGCCTTTTTTACAGGATGCAAGAGCAGTTTCTCTCCATGATACCTGCAGAAAAATACAAGGATTACTCACTAGTATACAAAAAAATTACAAGTATTTAATTTGTTGATCTTGTTTGCCGGTCATACGCACCCAAAGCCTCTCTTGCAATTGGGATGTTGGCCGTCATTCTCAAGAGCGTCAGGAATCCCAATCTGACTGTGTCCCAACCCTTCACCATCCTTCCAGCCCTGCCTCTCCATCAAACGACGGCCAAAGCCCTATAAAGAAAAAAACATTAGGAAATTGCTTATATAGGCTTGGGTAGAAAAGATGGCAATCAAATTAAAGGCCACCCTCTTACCTTAGTGAACCTCTCAAAGCTGCCAATAGACTGACTGTGTCCAGACCTATCTTCAAGACCGTCCCTCAGCCTTTTTTCATACCGCATTCGGACATAGTCACGGGCATCCATGTCACCTCCATCTGTGAGAACGAGAGCTGGGTTATAGAAAAACTGATCCTGCAGAGGTAATTTGATCCCCTTCATCTATTACGGCAATTACAGATCCAAGACAAACTTGACATACCTTTATCATAGTAAACACTCATGTCAACATCCCAGTCGTCTGTCGTTTGTTCATCAAAATCTAAAAAAAAAGGACAGAAGGAGACATTAAATATAATTAATATTTAATCAAACAAATACACTTCATTCAAAGCAGTTATGATTCAAAATATATAAATGTGCTTTGAATCAAAACAAAATAGCGCACACATCAACATTTATCTTTTAATGTCTATTACTGTAATCATAGAGTGGACTTAAGCTGTCTAATTTAACAATACACAATAACCATCAATATGTGATTTTTCTGTTCTAAATATACATTAATACATACCTCTAGAAGTATACAACTTTAATATGGAAAACTATATGATTCATGTTTTTGTTGCTTACCTCCTTCTTCCTCCTGCCAGTACTGGGCATCAGTGTAGAACACCAGGCCCGAGCCGCCCTTCTCCCACTTCAACTCGATCTCCTCTTCGAACAGCCTCTCTTTGCTTCGCTCCTGGCTCGTTACATCATCATGCAAAGCCTCATGGCGCTCCCACTCCTCACAGCAGTCATCATCCTACAACCAACCATATGAATAATTGTCAAACCACAGTGAAGGAATGACGATGACAAGTCAGCCAACAGTTGCTATTATCAACAGTGCATAATATTTAACACATTATATATGAATGAATTTAAACCCACATCATCTGCATTTGACTTTGTATCCTCCTCCTCTTCTTCCTGTGGCTCATCAGTCTCTGTTGTGCGATCAGCTCGCTGCCTCCGTCCTGAGGGCGGAGTAGCCAAAGTGCCTGGTCCTGTTATTTCATGTCCAGCAGCTGTTAACACAGTCTCCTCTGTGGCTGGAAGCGTCAAAGTGTCCTGATACTGGAAAGGTACATTGCCGTAGCGACGGTTTGAACTGGTCTTGGGAAAAGTGAGGCCCAACTTCCGGATGAGGCGCGGAGGCAATCGGCAGGACTGGATGAGCTGTAGGAACACTTTCACTGGCGTGCCCACATTCCCATTCTGCATCAGAGCGGGTGGATTCAGTTCGGGTAAACTTTTGAGGTCAGCCTCTGTGAAACGCTCTGTTAGGGACACCCGGTACCGCTGCTCATGCTTCGATTTATAGGGGAATGACCCATCATCTGAAGAATAATATTAAAAAAGTTAGATATACAGACAGCAGTAACACTTCACAGAAAAAGACAATTAATTGCAAGTAATTAACAGTCACACCCACATAATGGGGCCATTTATATAGTTCCTACACTGTTTATCTAACTGGTGTTTAGTAAAAGTTGTACCTTACAATTAGTAAGTTCCCTGATTGTTTCCTGTTTTCTTCATTACTAGCCTAATGAGGGAGTTTTAAGGTATCAGTTTGGACTCTCATAACTTGCACTAAGCATATTCAATAGTGGTGAATGACTCACAAGAATCATATATTTAAAATGAATAGTTAAAATCAAAGCAACAGAGGTCAAATTGTCCTTACTGTTGCCTCCATTAGGTCGAGCTCATATAACACTGGATCCCACGATGAAATCAACGTCATGTCTCCTGTGTAAAGCTTTTATGTTACAGATTTATAGTCCCCAAAGCCTCATGCAGAGCCACAGCAAATTGACCATTATAAAGCTGTCATATCAGGCCGAGTAGTGCTCCCCATAGCTTACAAAATATGCGGAGTGGCCCTTTAATATGGCACAACAAAAATGTGTCAAGTCCGGACAAAAATGGTAGTGATCTCTCTGTCCCCCTATCCCCGTTAGGCTAACTACAAAGCACATTTTAAGAAGCAAACTTTCACTCACCTTTGTCATGTGAAACCTTTATTCTTTTAATAACACAGCGTCTGGACAGCCAACTGCCCTTTGAGTCAATCCAGTGATTCCCCGAATACATCCTGATACATCTGTCAGCGTCTTTAGCATTAACTGAGACGATACAACAGCACGACTTCACCATCTGCTTCTTCACGGAGCTGTTTTCTGTCACTTGGTCGGTCTCCTGACACCTTGAGCTGCCTTCTTCACTTTCACCACACACGGTGTTTTCGGGCCCCTCGGACTCCCTGAGGACCTCAGGTCGGTGTCGGAAGTGAAAACACTGAAAACCGCCGCTTTCTATGAACTGACTGAAATAATTTCTCAGGTCCGCGGAGCGAAAAGCGACGGGAATGTTGCTAACTGCCAAATACACAGGACCTAGGGCTTCGGAGTCCGCCATGTTTGTTTTTTTCCTTCTAGAATAAAAACCAAAAACGTCATCGCAACGGCTTTCAGAAATGACGTCAGTTCCGCTTCCTAAAGACGTTAGAAAAAGCTACTCCACTAATTTATATTTTTGGGTTCTTGTTCAACTATTATATTTTTTTGTCCCTGTCAGAAATAAGTGGAAAAAAACAATTCACTTATTTTTATTTTTTTTTCACAGTTTCTTCTTTCTTTTCTTTACAAAAAAAGATAGCTCAGTCATGATTTTTAATCTATAAAAATTGCCCTTTTATGTCTGGTTTTTGTTATATTTCCTCTGTCCTTGAGCCAGATTTTTGATTTTCAACCATGTTTTAATTTGACATTGATCTAATATTAACTTCAAGTACAAATGATACAAATATTTTAATTAAATATATAATGTGTTGTATGAAATATTTGTGTTTTGTGCATTTTTTCCCATAAAAAAGAATACCTGTCCCTAGGGGTTATGGTCATTTTCACCACACTGTACAAAATGTAAATCCAGTGATTTTTTTTCTTCTTTTTTTAGGTAACAGGAGAGCACATGGATGGAGGACACTCAACTCCATGGAGGGAAATAAAATACCAAATCAAGGTGAAATTTTGTCCAGTTAAGAATATGTTTAGTAGCTATCATTTCCAAACTGCTCATATTTTCTTTAAAAGAAAAACAAATAACAGGAAAAACAAAAATTTATAATGTGTATTTTGTGTATATTTAATGCTAACCCTAAAACTGTCATTAGCAAGCTTACATATCATGAGTTTGTAAAAATGTGACAAAATATAATTTCCACAACAATCATTTTTTATCACCTTTTTTATTGTGATGGAAAAGACATATGGTAATAGAAATGACAGTGCCAGTGTTATATTACCGAAAATAATGTATCAATATTTATCTTCTAACCGCTTCATCCTCTTGAGGGTCGCTGGAGCCTATCCCAGCTTAAATCAGGCGAGAGGCAGGGTACACCCTGGACAGGTCGCCAGACTATCGCAGGGCTGACACATAGAGACAGACGACCATTCACACTCACATTCACACCTACGGACAATTTAGAGTTATCAATTAACCTAGTCCCCAATCTGCATGTCTTTGGACTGTGGGAGGATGCCGGACTGCCGGGGAGAACATGCAAATTCCGCACAGAAGGGCTCCCACACCGGGATCGAACCGGGAACCCTCTTGCTGTGAGGCAACAGCGCTAACCACCACACCACCGTGCTGCCCTAATGTATCAATACATCTCTGTAAATATGTATATATGTTTTTTATAGTTGAAGAGTGGCCCTTATAAGTTATAAAGATCATTAAGTATGGGGTTCTACATAAAAGTTATACATATACAAGATACATTATCTCCATGCTCAAGGATACTAGCGTGATTTTGTTTTCATAGCTCTATCATAATCTCTTGTACTAAATAACTTGGCCTAAATAATCAACTATGAATATAATCTTTGAAGGTTTACTGTATCTACATGCATTGTCAAATGTGTAGCACCAAATTCTGGGCCCTTTGCATAAGCAGTCTCTCTTGATCGATGTCTCTCTCATGCACCATGATTTTTTTAGTCGATCTGCTTCCTTTCCCTTTTCTGCCTTTCTTTCTTTCTGTCTTTATTCCCTTGTTTTGGATCTCCGATTTCCCTTTTTTGGGGACAGACTATACCATTTAGCGCTTTTGAAGTGTGAGAGGGGCCTCAGAGAGCTTCCACTTTTTTATGCAAAGTTCAGTCTTTCAACTGATTTATTCAGCCAATTTTAATTTAGTCATGGCATGTATTACTTAGAAATAAAAACGAACTGCCAACAAAACCAGATATTTCATTCCAGGCGTTTTCAAGGGCCCCCCTGATTGTTGTTTCTATATCTTCACCATGAAATTGCTGTGTATCTTATCCACGGTTAAATTTCCCTGATATCCAGGATTTTTTATTTTGACAGTGACGTACTTAAATAGATTAACAGCAGTTTAGCCCCTACTGTGTCTCACTAGGCTTTACAGGCCATATCAGTGGTGTAGACTCAACCACAGCTCTCTAACACAGGGAAAACAAACAAACAAACAAAAAACCCTTTGTACAAAGGGGAGAGATAGGTGATAACATAGAAGAGGCATTTTTAAGAGAAATCCTTCTTCTTGGATAACTAGAGGAATTTATTTTTTAAAAAATCAGTGTAAAGTAATAAAAAATAAACTCATAGAGCACTACACTGATAGTAATCAGTACTGCATCTTTGATAACATTCAAAGTTAAAATGTTAAAACTAGAAAGGAAACTGTGAGACTTAAATAACTATTGAAAGACACAGCACCCCGGCTCGATTTTTTATTCACATATCTGCTTTTGATTTAGACAAAAAGGAACCAAGTCTAGTAAAATACCATTGAAGCTCACTGAAGGGATGGAAATTACAAAATGTGACGTCTTTCACGTCACTACATTTTTAACCTCTTTCAGAGAGAAAACAAGTCACAGGTCATTATCCCAGCGGCTAACCCTTCCTCTGGCCTTCACCTCAACTTTTATCACTGTGTTTTGATAGTAATAGGCAGTAAAACTAGAGCCGGGTGTCTGGACTCTGACATCACTTATACATGTTACACACGTAGTTTCATGAGTCATCATAGCCATCCTGTCCTGTGTAAGCCCATATTAAAAAGCCCATGTTAAAACTCAAACATGTCATGTTCATTTAACTTACAAATGAATTATTAACAACATAAAGGTGAGTCAGAAGTTCGATCTTAGGTCAAAACTTACAAGTAAGGTACTGAAAGAATAAAACTTTCTAACACATATATCACACAAGGAAGAGCCCCGCTGCATACAGGGGGGCACTTAGAGCCTCACAAATACATGCACCAAATATTCATCTGTGCTGGAAAATAAAATCAAAATATATAATTGTGAGGAGCTATACAAGATATGCTACCTTGTCACAAAAGACACCAATCATGGGTCATTGCACTGGAGTGGCCTTTAGTAGTTTCATAATCTGTAGATAAAGCCTCACAATTAAAGTGCAGGACTCAGTATTGTTTACATTTTTTGTACCTGTGCCAGCAACAATACTTTTTTTGATACTTGGAGAATATTTTAAAAAATATATTTTAAAAGCCTTTTTTTAACAAAAGAAAAAGAGCTTCTGAAATGCCTCAGTGTGTCCTGACACAGTTCATCCATAGAAGGACTTCTAAATGAAATACAGCACAAAATATAACTTAAATCAGGAAATATCTAATCTAATGATAACTAAGCAGACTTTAAATATGAACAAGTATTTAATGCCAGCTTTCAGTACTTTGTTTTTGATATTCTTAGCTACCCTTTGTCAGTATCTAAATGTATTAAAGCTTAGCAATATGTTAGCATTATATTAGTTTAGTATGTATGCAGGTGCCACTAGGGTCTTGTGCTACAGTATGTCATAGCATAAAGAAGAAAACGAAAATCCATATCACTTGTGCATTTCAAAACCCTGACATATCCTGGTGTACAGATGATCTATATTTTGGAATGGTCATTTTATTTTGATGAGGTGAAGTTGGTAACTTTATCTCAAAAGCCTGAAAAAGGAATCTTTTGTTTTAGACAAGAACATTTGATTGGGAAATTATATACACATTTTATTGTTTGAAAACATATGTTTGGCATTGTTGTTCTGGTTTGTATGAATTTGTGGTGTCTTGCAAGTTGCAAGTGTAAGAATAACTATCACCTCTGGGTTGATGACCTTGTGAAAAGGGAGCCAGGCAAATAACCCTCGGCTGTATTAGCAGTAGGCCAAGGTCAAGTGTCATGTACCAGCCACAGCGTCCATGGAGAGTTCAGTGACCTGGTAGACTAAAACCTGAGGAAACAAAAAAGTCAATATTTAGAGGAAAATCTCACCAGAAGGGCAAACTGTGTTTCAGTGGATATGGAGACACAATTCCCTTGAAAATATTTCAATAATTGTCCTATTGTTTTTAACAATTTAATAATGCTATCACTGTCAAGTGCCATCATAGATTTTTGTTTTGTATTTTAATGATATATTTATAATCAAAAAGGCTTGGACATTCTTTAGGTTCCACCCATTACATCATGCTTTGTCAGACCTGGACTGTTTCGCCTGCTTGATCTCAGAATACAGCAGTTGTTCCACTTATAGAATGAAGGACATTTTATTTTACTGTCTTGCCGGAGATAAGCGGTCGTCCTCCGTGTCCGTCTCTGCCTGCTCCTAACCTCTATAAACACAAGTCTTATCGCAAGCATTTACAACTGTCAGCCTGCTTCATGGTGCCCGAGTTCCTCCTGAGTGCATTACAGGTCACTTCACTGAAAGGATCACATTCTCAAAGATAGCGTAATGTGTGTTATCATGCATTTCGTAGCGGAGATCCGTTATGATTTAGACATGTCACGTCTTACATGAATAATCACTGTAGTGTATCGTAATGAGATCACTCCAGGAAAGAAAATGAGGCTGTGAACCTCTTCTAGAGCATTCTTTGAAGGGATGAGTAAAGACACTGATGAAGTAAAACAAACATGCGGTGACTGGTGCTGCCAGTTGTGTCTGGCTTGTAATCTCTTTATTGTAGTCATTCACTTTATGAGCTGACCTTGACTCCACTGCTCTGTGGTTCACATCTTCCTCTGGAACTTCCATAATGATGCTTTCAGGCTTCTTGGCTTGTGCAGCCAGTGTCCCCACAAAAATAAAGAAGAGCATATTAGGTTATATATTGTGTCACCTGTCACTATACAGTGTGGTAAACACTTTAGTTGGGCCATGGCCCTAAATGTCCAAACCAAGGGAACTTGTCATTGAATATTAGAAGTTTGTTTATTTGTGACAGCAATAAAGTAATTAGCTTATCAGTCTTGAGCCTCTGTGCCAGGCACAGGGAAGATAACAAATTAGGGTAAACTCATTTAAATGACAAGTGGAACATTGTACTGCCTGTTACAGAGGCCATAAACTGGAATTTCCTGAATT